AAACACCAATTGATCAAACCAGGAAATAGCCTGCCAATAAGATTATCACACCGACAAATGCACTGCAAAAGCATATGCAAATGGAACAGTAACTCAATAATTCACATGAACAACAAAAATTTAGCAATAATCCTTGAAACATTGAATTTCCAAGCTTTGACAGTAACAACTCATCACAAGGCAAGACTTCTATCGTTTTCTATTCTTTTCCACATAAACAGAATGAAGTGCAAACCTGTACTTGAAGTTGGAGCTGCTTGAGGTACTCGATTGCTTCATCGAGCATTGAAGCCTTGTCCGTCTATCAGGATTGCAAGAGATGAACATTTAAAAATATCAAAGTAAACCTCATTAGGCTTAACTCAATCAACATTAAAACTAAACACTAAAAAGGAAAATAAAACAATTTGTGGTTTTACCTTGTTAGAATTTGGAATTAGATTTTGCAACGACCTCAGTTTTTCATTAATTAATCCTGCTCCTCCTCCTCTGCCAAATGCATTTCAAAATATCAAAACCCAGAATTCATTATAGGAATATATACATACAAACTCCAAAATGAAAATTCTAAAAATAAAAAAGGTAAAACTACAAATTTCTGTCCATTAGAAAAAAAAAAAAAAACCTTTTCAGACAAATTATGCACTTCAGCTGCTCGGGTTCTCTTCGATGAGTTCCGGCGTGGTGTTGACTTTGGCAGTGCCTCTTCTACCAAGGCTTCAATAGCGTCCTACATGTGATAACTATGAAATTAAACTCCACAAAAGAAAAATAAAAAATGAAAGTGTACAAAAACATGAATGGATGCAGAAATTTATGCTAACAAATGTAACCGTAACATTGTAACAACTACCACAACCCAAAAGATCTCAGCAGACCATTATACAAATCATTTTTTACTTATATTAAGTAATTAAGTACCTGACTTTCACAATCATACTCATATCCATCAGGGTCATTATCCACTGTCCCAACAGAAGAAGACACATTCGCCGTTGTACTTGTCGGAAAATACCCACCGGACGAGGAGTTCAATGCTGAAGATGATTCGAGCACAGAGATCCGTCCCGGACCTGGGACAGTTGGCGGAACATAATCATGGGTTGTAGCAAAAGACTGCTGTTGCATTAGAGTTGAAGAAGAAGACGAAGGAGGAAAGAGAAATTTTTGGAGAAAAAAGGAAATGTCATCGATCTCTACAGGTGAAGAAGATGAAGAACAGTTTTTCGTAGTTGCATATATATTTGCCATAGATATGAATTGTTGAATACATATAAGTTGATCAAACAAGAGATGAAAAAATGCAAAGTTCAAAAGAGGGTGATTTTTGTTTCTGGTTTCATCTCTCTGACACTGCACAAGTAATAAAGATTCAAACCCGTTTCAATAGGCTGAGATCACTCTTNATGAAAAAATGCAAAGTTCATAAGAGGGTGATTTTTGTTTCTGGTTTCATCTCTCTGACACTGCACAAGTAATATAGATTCTAACCCGTTTCTATAGTCTGAGATCACTCTTCGAAGTGGTGCTGCAACGGTTTGACTGGTCTTATTGGAAGTGGGAACTGAAGCATGTACAGTGAACGGTGTTTTTACTGATGGTGATGTTCTTTTTCACTGTTGAAGAGCCGTTTGCTACATATTCTCATTTTTTACAGTAAATCAATTCTCATTTTCAATCACACATTCTTTAATAAAATAATATTTTCCATCACATCAATACCTTTTTCTTATTTTTCAACCACACATTTTCCATCATATCACTATTCAAAAATCAATTCTTCCCCAAAAAATCTCTACCAAACACACTCTAAAACTGGTGAAAAAATATGTCAGGATGAAGCGCGCAATTTGAACCAAGGTTTTGGCCCGATGTATTGGCACAATCGCAATAGGGTAATGTTATTCAATCTCAGTGAGGATGAAAACACAGTCTATGTGACGTCAATGTGACATTAAATGATAGGTAAAATTAAATGAATGTGGTATTAAATTATAGGTGAAATTAAGTCATTTAATTTTAATCAATTCTCATTTTCAACCACACATTCTTCAATTAAATAATATTTTCCATCACATCAATAATTTTTTCTTTTTTTTCAACCACATATTTTCCATCATATCACTATTTAAAAATCAATTCTTCCTCAAAAAATTCATACCAAACAAGCTCTAAGCTCTTTTGTCGAGGAAAAAAAATTGTCACTTTAATTGACATATACTTACATGAGTGTGGGACTTATGTAAATAAAATAAAAAAATCAAAAAGGTGTTCCCCTATTGTGAATGTGCTTTGTTCAAAATTATGATGATTTCATTATATGTAGTGGCACCTCATAATCATGGAATAGGAATTGTTGTGATAGTTGGTGATATTGTTGTCATTAATTCGATCCATAACACCTTTTGATATTGGTATTACTTTTTGATTATGTTGTGGTCATTTTAATCCATCAACGATCATAGACTAGTCTACTACCGATAGTTCCGTCGAAATCACCAACTGATAATGATTCTCAACATGTGCTGTGTGTGATTCTATTGATTATTATTATTATTTAAAAGATCCCCTTACAGATTTTATCTAAGGCCCCCAAAGTTGTTTGAACATCCTCTAATTAAATTATTTGGAGTACATCCAATATAAGTCTATTGTGGAGAAAGAGGCTTGTATGGTTGCCTCCATAGGAAAAGAGTATGAAAAGGGTAATATGTTTGATTCATTAATTCTAATGAAATGTCACTATTGGAATATTAAATACCAATCAACTAATCAAAATAGCTATTGATTGGAGGGGACCAACATGAAATAGACTAGCTTACTTCTTTAATTGTTTTGTGTAGGGTGGGGAGAATCAGAGTACAAGGATGGATGGCTAGTTGCATTCAAAGTTGCAATCAAGATGAGATTATTCCAATTAACTTTGAATTTCAATCATGTGACCCAAGTTTTGTTGCGTTATTCAAATAGTTCAATGACTCTTGAAAATTGCATTATCTAAACATATAATCATTAATTGACTGACCATAACTTAAAGTCGATAACATTAAATAAAAAAAAAAAAGTTGGAAGTCGATTCTAAATCAACGCACTTCTAAGAATAAAATCACATTTTTTATGTATCGTACATGTTTTCATCGAAAATGGCTGAAGTGGAACCGTAAAAAATAATTACGTCTAAAAATATTTACACAGAGAGAATCTTATACCACGAAGAAGGTAGGCAAAATTCATAATACCGTGTTCATATTATTTGCTTGTTTAGAATTATGAATTAAACGTCGACTATTAGACATATACACTTGTCTACTTTCCACACACAAAGAAGGAATGGGATTTACTATCAAATAATTTATTTCCATTGCCCTATTCTATGATTAGTCTCGACTAGAATGAAAAATGAGCTATCCCAAACTAGCAACTCTTAAATTTACTATAAAACCCTTCAAATTCAGTGCACACACATAATTGATCAAAACTACATTTTATCTACACGTTTTATGAATTTCACTATTACTATTTACTTGTTTATCACTTATTTTTATCTATTTATAGTTAAAATTAATTATAATCACTCTCAAACATGCATAAAGCTATAATTTGTGTACAAGATTTGTCATTCAGCAAAATCAAACCTTTCACCTTCTATCCAAACGTCACCTTAATGGTATATATTTTTTAAAATTTATTTTTAATCGTATATTTTTTTAATAAAATTATTTTGCAAATGAATTCATAATTTTTTCTTATTTCTTAATCACATATTAATTAAAAAAATAAAAATCAATATCCTTCACCAATATAATAACATCAAGAATCCTACTTCTACTGCTACAGTCCTACTACTCCCTCCAGTATGTCTACTCTACACGCGGGACCACCGTATATTCAAACATCAGCCAGCCAATGCAAACACGGCAAGCAAAACAGTAGAGCCTAGGATTGTTGGATAATTGACGTGTCGATATGGTAACTTAGAATGGATTATTGGGATGTGTGATTTTGGACCAGCCTATCATCGTATCCGACGGTGAAGGATTGCTCATAAGTCAATTTTTGAGCTGATCAGTACCATTTGATTTGATTAACTGGGATATGGGAAATTGTGGATCCTCAGTGATGGAGTTTGTGAGTTGAATTATG